GACGTTGCTACATACGATTTTGCGTATCTGTCGCCCCGCTCGTACGAAAGAGCGATCCTATACACCTCCTCCGGTGTTTTAGTGGATCGTCACAGTTCGTTCTGCGCTTCGCGGTTGTTCATGCTAACAATGAACATGTCCCTGAGAAAGCGATCTTCCAATGTGCCAAAGTTGCATCGGGCCGCAAGCCACTTAACCCCGAAACTGCTCAAGACTTTCATTGATTTGATGTTTCCGAGCGAAAAGTTAGAATGTCTCATATGTTTCATTCCGCTCTTTTTTAAATTCCGTCTCTAGTGCATCTAGCATCCTTGGGTAACGAATTGTTGAGAGATATAAATGCGATCGTCTTTTGTGCAGCTCGTCCTGCCCTTTTTCACCCAGACACAAATACAAATTGGAAATCAATATTTGTTCAGATTCTAGCCAGTTCTTTCCGTCCACTTCCGCTGGCAAAGCGGTGATTCGAGTTGCTGTGAGAGTTGCAGCGAAATTGTGATTTTTCGGGTTAATCGAATGCTTTGCCACCATTCCCCATTGAAATCTGTTCATCCAGAACTCCCAGAGCATTGGCGGTTCAATACACTTCGGTGGCCAGAATCCGGTGATACCAAGTGGATTTTTCCCCCACTTGAAACAGCTGGCTGCGCCATGTTGAAGACGTGATTCAAGCAATAAGTAAATTCCGACAATAATTGTAACTTAATCTTACAAACTTAAATCCAAGAGTGACAATAGAGGTCAACCAAGGGTGACAGACAATACCAAGGTCAGCACCTGCTAACAGACTAATTAGCACCACGATTGACAGTTGATTGATAGCTGAAACTTAAACTCTCATGAACTAAATTAGCACTATATGACAACTTCTTGCAAATTACATGAGTCACTCAGAAAAAAAACCTTCACGCCAAAGACGAGCAACTCTTCCTTGAAAACAGGCTCGTGGTTCCTGCAGCAATCTCTTGGCTTTATCCTTCCAAACTGCATGAGACGGAAGCAGGAATCTCGGAAATGAACATTTTAGCAGAAGATGTATGATAGCCACATTTATAGGGAGATCTAAGACAGCTGTTAGTCTTGTCATCTATGTTTTAAGGCCGGTAAGAATCTCTAATTACTTTGGACGTTTTTTGAGGAACAAAGTAAAACATTTTTTTTTGTGTATCAGTTGTTCACGAAAATTTTTGGCAAAATAGATTAAAAACGTATTTTATTTATTTTTTATTGTTTATTTTTTAAAGAAACTTCGTTAGTAGCATTGATGTTCGAAAAAATTTAAAGTCCATTATTGGTCATCTTTTTGTCTCTTTATTTTTGTATCCTTTTGGGGAAAGTGTTACTTTTAAATTATTAATTGTTTAGTGGGAGATCAAAGATCGATTGGAATGGCTGAAAAATAAGCATTTCAGATTCAAAATAAAGCAAAAATATTAGCCATGTTTTTCAAACAACTTGATCTGATCTTGTATCATTTGAAACTCGAGAAAAATTTAAAAAACTCACTCATCGAGTGCATGCACTCGTATCGAAACACATTTTTTTAAAACCAAACCACTATCACTTGCTGCAGAAACCTGACTTCTCATGATAACAACTATTTAGATCGATGAAATGCAATACTATCACAGGACAGATTGTGTAACTGGGGTTTGCAGTTCCATCGCCTCAAGACTGGCAAACATGAGCAAGTCCCATTCCTCGACAGATTCCGAAAACAAAATCCCTCTCGCGGCAACCAGTTGGAACGCCAGGACTCCTACTTCTTCTGCAACCTATCGTACAAAATAATCCGGAGGTAGTTTTTAAAGAAAGACCACGAGACTTAAGAACAGGTAATCATACTTTAACATCGTCAAGGAAATAAATCTAGACTCCTCCGAGCACACCAAAACCCGAGATGATGGTCACATTATTTCGAATTCAATGCTCGCGTTTAAGGGTAAACTAATGCCTAGCCCGAAACATGTAGCCTAAATTTTACCCACAAGTCCGAGCGTGAAAAACATTACGAGTTGAGCAGGAAAAAAAGTTTCTCCTACAAAGAAGACAACCCCACAAGGAACTCAAAGGACGATCTCTAAAAAGAAGAGAGGAATCGAAACAATGCCGGAGGCTAAAATTACCACCATCTATTTAGTAGTGTCTCAAGTTTTTCCTGGTCATGAGACTTAATTCTATGGACAATATCATCAACGATTACTTCAAGAACGTCTCAAACAATAATAAGTTCAATTTGAATTATTCGGATGTGCCACCTGTTCCTAACTAACCCTGACTTGAGCAGTTCAGCAGAAGACAACCGACAACACGCGGATATGAATATGTTGAATATCCCGACGGTCTCCCATTGGCGTACGAAACTTGGCTCACGGAACAGACAGGATCCGCACTTATGTATCAATTATGATGAATAGCTCTCCAGACAAGCCAGAAAGGTTTGCGGGACCCGGTGGTCATCACACTAGAAGACATCCCAAACAAAGCCACGACCCGCTCTTGTTTTTTCCCCTGGTCGCCTTTGATTTTTCCTGGTCGCCTTACTCCTCTAGCTAACGCATCGACTGGGCAATACTGGGGCCTGAGAAAAAATCAATATGGTTGTCAAAATTTACAGTGCGATCTGGCACAACCCAGACTGTACCACTTGTCACTACAATCGAATGTTGCTCTTTAGGAACGAATCACCCGCATCATCCCGCACCTTCCCATGACGAACAAGGCGCCCAGTTGGAAAGCAAAGCGACCTTTCATCAACAATCTATCATGATTGACGAAAAACCTATGAAGTTATCAAGATTCAACAAAAACTAAACATAGGCAATTTTCTCAAAACTGATAATTTTTATGTTCTAAAATAATTCCACTCAGTTTAAAGAGCAATTTGTCTTGTATTTTTTAATTGTACATTTTTGTTTTTACCTGGTTAGATTTGTCCAATTGTAGATTTACCGACTCTGTAAAATTGGAATTTCTACCTTTTTGTACCATCTTGTACCAACCATTTTCTCCATCTTGTACATACCATGTTTCAGGTAGATGCAGTAATATTTTCTGTTCAAATTTTCGGTTATGTTCTTTTTACTTCGAAGTGGAAAATGGTGGTACAAAAAACTAGTATTTTTAGTTGTCTTTTGGAGAATGCTAATTTGTTTTGAATACCTTGTGCATACGACCTTCCGTGTTGATTAGCTACCTGTCAACTATGCCATGCATCGACCATCGGTCTATCATTCGCTGTTCGAAAATAGTCGGAGAACAGGCATTTTATTTGAAACTCATTTCTTCTCATTTTTCTTTTAGCTTAAAGAACTTGATTGCACATAATAAAATGTTAAGCAAATCTATCTGCTTATGTGCAATTAAGTTCTTCAAGCATAAAAAAACGAGTAAGAAATGAGTTTCAATTAAAACGTCTGTTCTCCGACTGTTTTTGAACGGCGAATGATCTACCGATGGTCGATGCATGGCATAGTTGACAGGTAGCTAATCAACACGGAAGGTCATATGCACAAAGTATTCAAAACAAATTAACATTCCCCAAAAGACAACTAACAATACTAGATTTTTGTACCACCATTTTTCACTTCGAAGTAAAGTTAACTTAACCGAAATAAGAAGAGAAAACATTAATGCATCTACCTGAAACATGATATGTACAAGATGGAGTAAATGGTGAACCAAATTGTTGCTTAGTAAAATGAATCCCTTTTTTTGAAAAAACTATTCATTCTTTTTCTTTAAACATATTCAAGATAGAACCAACGGTTTTTAATTCATTGACATTTTTTTCAGATTAATTGGCTAAATATAACCATTTAGACGAACACTGGTACATTTTACACTTTTTTTAAATGTAAGAAACATATACTAGATCTCGAAAACTGTGACTACTTTGAGCTTCTAAAAACTTTCCAAATTCTGATGCCGGTTTTTAAAGCAAAAATACAAATGAATTTTGAGTATTTTATTTGGGATTACGACTAAAGCCTAATAACTTCCGTGTGCAACGAAACGCTCTACTCTGCAAATAAGTGAAAGAAACTTTTTTGCAAAACTTTCGGTTCTATGCTCATAGTTTGAGCTCAAAACACCTTTTGCAGTTTCAATCCTAACGCGGCAAATGTTTAATGTTTAATGATTTTTTCCCACTAAAAAGATTTGCCAGAGCGGCGCAAATTTTTATGTCAAACTAGGGGGGTCGTTATGGCTTTTTGTCTGGTTTTTGAAACTAAAGGTTTTTGAACCTTTAGGTCAACCCTTTAGGTCAACCCAAAAAGGTGGGGAAATGTTACAAACACTTTTTGAAATAATCCACCCTCCCTCGAAAAAAAACTTAGATCTGTTCTTGAGTGTGTCATTAGTCATTGACTAACTCGTTTTCGGTAATTAGAAAAACTTCATGTTCATTTTGTGAAGTTTTGTTGCTAAGCTTATAGATTGATCAAGCATATGTTTTTGCTAGACACTACCGAGCATCAATGGTGTGCCATGAAAGCAGAGTGAAACTTTAAACCACTGGGTAACTGTGTACAATTACAGTTTTGAACGCAATTTGATCAACCCGTGGTTATCTTAAATATTCTAGAAAAATCATCGAGTATAATCTGAAAAAAAATCGGGCTATGCAAATTTATCCCTATTCTCAAACATGAAAAAATCAAACAGTTCTTAAACAGGGGCACAACCGCGGTTCGCGTGATGAGCTGTACAGCTCTTGTGTTGGTCCTTTCCCCCGTGGATAAATGGTCTTAATCTTAATCTATAAACAAGCGGGTCAACAATGATCATAAGTTGACAAAGAGACATTTATTATATTTTGGATTTTAAAAAATTCAAAAAAGTCACAACAGAGCCATTTGGGTTTTGATTCAGGACATTATTTAACATTTCGAGCCAAATGAACTCAATTTTCAAGTTTAAAACAATATGATTGAAATTTTTATTGCAGAAATTGTACATCATGCTGTTAATGCAACACTGAAAAAACTTCTCTCATTAGACTATAAATGTGTAATTAAACTTTTTAATAATATTCTCAAATAGCACTGAGCAAATCAGTCGGGGTTAATCTACGACAAAATAAGAAAATAGGGGAGCTTCAAATGTCAAAACATAAATGGTAAAATAACAGATATGATTAAATAGCAGTTGATCACGTCGTTAAGCTCCCGTACACTCATTTTTGTTGCTCACTTCGCATGACAAACGCGACGTCGATGGAACGAAAGCGACCTTGTGCTCTTCGTTGTCGTCGTCGTCATCGCACGGCGTGACCACCGGGTAGTTCGCACCGGGTGGCGACGAATCGGCCAAGTCTCGTATCAACATGAACTTCTTCGTGAATCCGCTGTAGAGAATAGGACTTAAACAGCTGTTGACATATGTTAGAATTTGGAACACGACTGTCATGTATATAACAGCCACTTGATGGTTTGCGAACAAGTGGAACTCATTGACCATTTGAGAAATATAGAAGGGACCGTAGGAGACGATGAAGCTGACAACTATTAGTCCAAGTACGGCACTGAGTCTGTTCTGGTTGATATGCGCCAATGCACTCCTAGGATTTCTAAAACAAAAACGAATCAACAACACCTCTAAACCCCTGAAATAGAGACCAGTTCTAGTCGCTCATCGGAACTATTTGAAAACTGATTGACTTTTGACGTGCATATATTCAGAAATCAATCTTAAGGAGTAGCGCGTCGAAAAAGACATTTTTTGGACAAAACCTTCCAAACAAGTTCGAGGTAGATTTTGGTAAATTTAAACTGATGTATATGTGGACCAATCATGAGCGGAGTATGTAGTAAGCCAAAAAAACATAACAATTCATCATTATTTGAAATAATCACGCTATCTGAAAAACAAACGTACCCATGTAAACAATCAACCCCCTCCCCCACATACACACACACGTACACACATCGACTAAGTAAACTACCCCCCCCCCCCACAAAAAAAAGTTTATAAAACTCGAGTAATAAATTATTAACCAAATGAACAATCTCCCCATAAGCCAATTGAGAGGATGAGCAATTGTTCTTCACACTGTCCAAAAAAACGCACTCGAAAAGAGTCAATAACCTGATTTGGCGAAGGAAATTCTTGAACACTCCGATGTAGAAGAACACCATCAGACTCACAGGTAGCAAACACTCCATCACAGCCAGTGAGGAGAAATAGACAGATTTCCAGACAGGGTTCCAGGTGCTTCCACAGTGTAGCACTGATGTGTTGGCTGTGGTTCTGATGCCCAGGTCTGGATAGGGTTCCTCAATTGCAGCTGTGAACACTCCAATTGGCGCTGAAAAGGTTCCAGACGGTTTACCAATTTTACTAGCTTCAAAGATGTGTATGTTGTCGAAGTTCCAGGCGCAAAAAAAAACGGCCTCATGTTGAAAAAAAAGTTTCGCTCAGTCAAATTACAAATTCTAGAATTTGGAGAAATAATGATCAATGAAGTTTTGCAGTTTTGGAAAGTTTTGACTGAAAAATTGGATACTCCTACACTGAAAATTATTCAGCAATTTTAGCAACATTTTGAGTTCTGTCAGTCAAAAATCGATTTCATAAAATAGTAAAGAAAGAGGTTCCTTAATATTTTGAGTTTTCTGAAATGAATAATATAAAAAAAATATTTTCCACCATGAAGCGAAAAGAATTTTTCACCACTATTTTTCTGACAACTTTTATCAGGAATAATCTTTCTCGTCATTTTGGCTAAGTAAACATCATATTTTTGTTTAACCACGAGAAACAATGCGGGGGGGGGGGGTGCTATCATAGCAATTTCAAAAAGACATCTGATAATATTTTGGCGTAATAGATGGAAAGTTTCATATCTGTGTAATTATAAAATTGCTTAGGTAATTGTAATTGTCGTGGTATATGTAATTGTTTATGCAACTGCTCAAGTGAAAATATAATAACTTCATACCAGATACAACTAGTCCGCTGATCCAGACGAACACAAGTGCTATGGCATTCTTCGTTTGGTATGTGGAGTTGTAGGCGTATGGGTTGTTCATGGCTTGATACCGCTCGTGACTCATAGTAACAATCAGCCACGCACTCACGTGTTGTGACAAGACATCAAAGAAGAACTTAGGCCTGCGCAAAACTTGGATTTAGAAAATATAGCATAAAAAAATAAGCCTATAATCTAGTTTTTCCATTTGGTTTTTATCAAAAATGGATTTACAAAATCATATTGCAATAGTCTTTTGATTTCTAAGCTACCATACAAAACATCAGCGTAAGCAAGTGAATAATTTGTACAAACATTTCTTCGAACAACATTACGAGGCCACATTGTGTACTGGATAAGCGCACAATTTTGTGTCTGTATATTCCTGGATTCCAGAGACAAGTCTTAGAGCACGTTCCAAAATGTATGTGGATTCCACTTACAAAATTTCAATTGATCCCACTTACAAATACCTGTAACGTAAATTTTGTCGGCACCTTGATTTTGTTGCAGTTCCGCAACGAGCAAATATAAGTAGTTGTCCGGATTCCGCAAATGTAAGCGGAGTCCGCAAAAGTAAGTGGATTCCGCAAAGTTACGCGAATTCCACTTACAATTTGCGAATTCCGCTCACACTTTGCGGAATCTGCTTACAATTTGCGGATTCCGCTTACAATTTGCGGATTCCACTTACAGTTGCGGATTCCACTACAGCTTAAGTTTACTGAACGCATATGTTATTATTTGTTCCGGATTCCACACATTTTGTTGCGGATTCCCCAAATTTGTCAGTTTTTGGAACAATTTTGAGCTATACAGTGTTTTTGCTATTTGTCCTTGGAATCCAAAACAGCAGAGAAGTTAAAAAAAAACAGTTTTGTAGATTCCGGGACAAATCTGATTTTGCCTGTTGCGGAATCCGCTTAAAATTCACAAAACGCACAGTTTGGCCTCATAATGAAACTGATTGACGTATGATTAAGTTTTAGACAATTTTACGGTACATTTTTTACAAGGGGGAGGGATTGGAAAACTGTAAGAGAAGCCGGCAAAAGCAAAAAGCTTTTCATACAACCGTATAATTGTTTTTGTCATCATTAAATAAAGAATCAGTTTTATTTTTCAACATTCGGACGAGGTGACACAATTTATATGTTTGCATAGTTTTTTATCTCAATTTCCATTTTTTAATTAACCGTGTTTGACTATTTATTTTTATTAATTAATTACGGATTAATTATTATCTAAAATCCTTACCGATTTCTTCAAACTGACGGCCATTAGCTCCATCTATAAAAAATTTGGGATTTTTTGCTTTTATCATTATCCCCTTACACGTTATACCTTTTATATCGGTCTTTTATAATCTTATCAAAATATTTGAAAAAAGTAAAAAGCCTCATTTTAATTGGGACTATTTAATTGACAACGCACGCTACGCGTTAATCCACGCTACGTGCATTACACAAATTGTAAATTTTCATCGCATCCCCAAACACCCCTGCTGCCTAAATTAACAAAATCGGCAGCAAGAGAAATACCTTTTTGATTTTGAGACTAGGCATCAAAATCATTCATTCAGATTTTTTCAAAAAATTCTGTCAAAAACTGCTAGCTATAGGGTCAAAATTTGTCGTAGAACAACACACCGAGAGAAGTTGTTTCAACATATATTTGTGTTTTTCAAAGTAGGTTTTAAAAATTCGTCAAAATTCTTCGTGATTTTGAAAATGAAGATAATTGAATTGGAAGTGTTAGAGGGTATCTAAAACTTCAAATGATACAAGTAAAAGTGAAGATGGAATAAAAACTTTCAGATGCATTAGCGTGACGAGGAGGGCGACCGTTTCTCCTCCGTTCTGGTTGCCAAATTTTCCCGAATGAGATCCATTTTTGGCTGACAAACATAAAAATTTTCTAAAGGCGCCTTTGGCGCCAATATAACTAAATTTGAAGAGAGAGCGCGCAGGAAAATTTTGACAAAATAGGGTCTTAATAGTATTTTCGGAAAGCTCGGAAAATCAAATCGGTCGACCCAAAAAAAAGGTGAACCATCTAAAAAACTTATAATCATCTAAAAAAATTTATTTATTTTACCTGAATGTGTTTATAATTCAAAATTTTCTATACGAACTGAGATTTTTATTTGATTCACTTTATCATTTAGATTATATATTTGGCAATACCACAAAAATAAAATTAAAAAAAATCTTGTTACTTGTGTAGCTATTCTTCGGAGTTTCGTAGTTTTGGAAAGTGGCTAATGCGTTAAGCTCAAAATAAAAAAAACTTTTCACTTTCGACCGTTTTTGAAGGTTGGGATGAAATTTTTCGCTTGCGACAATTAAAGCACGCGTCGTTTTAAAAATCTTTCAGTAAAAAACCAGCGAATGAAACTTTTTCAAAATAAATTATAAGTGAACTAAAACTTGAACATATTCAGTTATGGTTATTTGAGAAGGTGAAACGAAATTGTATTTATATTTATATATTTTTTGAAAAGATAATTTTCCAAGTGCGGTTTCGATCTCTAACAAAAAACAATTTATTCATGCTGTGATTAATTGGAATTTTTTGAAATCTAAGATAAGGCCAGCTGCAGAAAATTATCACAGAATTTATAAGAGAACCAACGTCCCTGTTTATGAATGAGTCATTTTTTCATACTGCCAAAAGAGTCTAACTAATAATTGGAGAACTAAGAAAATTAGGCAAAATTGATTATAAGTGTCGAATACAGGAAATCGCCTTTTCAAAACACATGCTATACTTTTAAAAGATATATGTTTCAATTGACAAAAGTTCTCCTATCGGGGCAAAAGTGTGAATGTTTTGACTGTTCATACTGTCTGGGGAATACATTTTGATTAATTTTTTTACATGAAATATTTCAAAAGCTGATAAAATTTCAAAAAGTTTTGTCAAAAAGTAGATGAGGTAATCAAAGTCCAGCAAATAAATTAAAAGCCTCTAATAGCTTGCCTCAAGTCAATTTGCAGCAATTTGAAAGCCGGATTAAATCGTCGCTTACGCGATATAAAACTAAACATCGCAGTTTTTAAACCCACTATATTTTTCCAAATTAGCAAGCAGAAAACTCCGACTAAATCGTACCTAGCTGCACCAAAAAAAAATCATAAAACCATTTGTAAACCTCAAAACTGCCGGAGCAAGTTGGTTGAGTAAAACGAATTCTAGATTTCAGCCCAAAGATTTTGCAAGGGAAGCCATAAAATTTTCGGTTTTGCACAGACATGTTTTTTTAAAAAAAAGAGACCTGTGGGTTTTACTAGATCAAATAAAACGATTATATCTGCTTGGATTGTGGCAATGAGAGTGCATGCCCGTTTTCTTTGCAATCGAATAAGGTCAGCAAACAGTAAAAATGCAAAGGTAAGAGAGGGAAAGAGCTGAGTCGTGTTCAATCTTACTTCCTTCGTGTCACAAGTTTTTTCATACCCGCATCTCAGAAAAAAAATTCAATTATCATGGATATTTGTGGTCTAAAACGTTATCGACAATAAGCTTCCCATGTTGCCCTCAGACAAAAAAACTGAACAAAACTTCTTTTATAAACCATTGTTGTTTGAAAATTAAAATGCAAAATATTCCATCGATTAATCCATCGATTTGAAATCAAATAAATTTTACCTCCAAGCCTATTTCTCGCCAACCCCTGCCCCCCCCCCCCCCCCGATGATGTTATTCTTGACCCCCAAACGTTTTGGCAATTAAATTTGTGGAAAATGCATGCAAAAAAAATCTTGAAAATTGGCCAAAATTGTATTTTGGCGCGCAATCCACGTCAAAATTAGTATTTGTAAATACAATTACATTATTATTTTTCACATATATACATGTATAATTTGATCCAAAAATCGCCCAAACCCCTCCCCCTCCAAATAAGCAAGTTTCTAAACAACCAATCAAAGGAAATTGGTGTAAGCAACAAAATTGAGTAACATGAAATGAATAACAAGAATCAAAACTGCAGAGAAAAATTTGAAGTTGAACAACAAGTAACTAACTTTAGTTCAAAACGTGCAAGTGATTTTATTCTGTGTGCATTGAGAATCGCATCTCAAAAAACGAAAAAAAAATTTTTTACTGGAGATTCATCGTGCTTAACTATAAAAGTAAAAAAATATTCTAATAAAATTATTTTGCAATGAATTTTAATGCTTCCATAAATAATGGCAATATAATCCAATTTTAATTGATTATAATCGTTTACATTTGATTTTTATAGACACTGACAATAAAACTCAAATTTAATTGATTTACATTCATGAAACTCCAGTGCGGGAATTTTTAAATATCAACTAAGTTTGTATTAGACTAGTTACGTTTTTCGGCCCATGTGAACAATCATCTCCCTTAATAGACCAAGTACAAAATCTCTCTCCCCTCCCTAAATTTAAGGGCAAAGTCAAGCAGTAAGGTCTGCATGTACTATGCTAAAATCTGATTGGCTGAAAAATATTACTTCTAACCAAGTAAACGCTCTCCTCCCTAAACAGATTTATGGGGGAGATGTTCCACTTGGTCCGGTATTTTTTAACTTGGTATCAACTATTTAACTTACTTGCACAGATATGGGGAAATGATTTTTCCCGTCAGCTGTTCCCAGCTCATCACTCCGAGCACTGAAAGGTAGATGATGTCTGAGACTGCCAAGTGGACTAAAGTGTGACTGACAATGTGCTGCTGGATCTTTTTCCACTGTCTTTTCAGCATGTAGAGTGCTGACAAATTTGCACCCACGCCAAACACGAAAAGAAGTGGCATCAGAATTTTTGTGAAAATCATGCTTGTTTTTTTGATAATCGATCAACTAACTATCAAATCTGAAACAAAAGTCCCAAAATAGATAACTGTTTAGCGACCGATCGAATATACAACACAAACTAAAAAGAGCTGGATGAGAAAAACCTGTTATAAAGATGAAAGAAACAATCGGAAAAAATTCAAATTTTTCCACAACTTTTGTCCCAATTGTCAGTTATTATTGTTAACAGGGGCGGATTTAGGGGAAGGGCGGGGGGGGGGGGGGCTAACGCCTCCCCCTTCAAGGATTTGAATCCCTGCCAACCCAAAGGGTCCCCCCTTTGGTACTTTTTAAGAAATCCATTTTTGGCCAAAATTTGGCCAAAACAGGGTCTTTTTACTGCTTTGGGAGAGCTCGGAAAATCAATCTGATCGACCTAAAAAAAAGTCGTCAAAATTTTCGAAAATTTTTTGAAAATCCGCACCCCCCCCCCCCCCTCGAGAAAATCCTAGATCCGCCCCTGATTGTAAATGATGACTGCATTGGTTTTCAAAAAAAAGTCAGCCTCTTATCAAACTTTGCTTTCTTCAGTCTGAAAACGACCATTTTTTTTTCGAAGCTGAGAAACTGAAACGATATTTGCTCTTTGATGGAATATCTAAAAACGCATTAGGGTTTTAATATGATATCCCTCACTTGACCTGCTCCAAATTTTCTTTGATCTTTCTTGTCACAATAGAGTGGAAAAAGCACACTCTATTCCATACAGCCTTTCCACTACCTTTAGTGGTTGGTTGGACAAAAAAACTCCAAGGTTTCCACAATTAAGAAATGTTAAGAGTGTTCAGTAAATTAGTCGACACTTTGTGAAAAAAAGCACAAAAGTAGTAAAATACGGAATATTTAGCGCTATAATCAGCAAAATCAACAAAAAATATTCTCTTTTTTTTTTCATTTTTAAATGAACAAAGCAGTAAATAAACGTGAAATAATTCAGGCTTGCGTATCGTGGGTGGCCATCTTTACTATTTGAAAAATAATCAGATGCCCTTAGAAGATTATAAGTGAAATAATGGAAGCAATTAATTTTAAATGTTTTGTTTGAAATCACTATTTAATCTGATTGTATGAAGTTTTCATCATGGTCTAACATATGGTGCGCATTTTGTCAAAGTAAAATTAAATTGCAAAATTTAACAGTTAAATCTTGTCAGTATTCACCAGCACGTAAAAATAGTGAAGGTACCACACAGCGGATCTATTAAATTATCCCTTCCCTAGTTTAAATTTTCTATCCCAAATTTTGATAGTCTATCGCAAGCAAAGGAAATTGTTACTTTATTCACATTGTTAAATGGTAATTGATTTTAAATAGTCCATCAAAAACGAATAGACGAAGTAACGATGGTTTGGAAAAAAACATTCCGTAACAAATACCTTCGAACTACAGACAGAAGAGTTTGAAAAAACCGACCTACCATTAATTACAACAGTTTGCAAGATACTTTTGAAAACTATTGCCTTAAGAAAAGACAATTGATCAAGTTCGACGATTTTTTTTTAATAACTCGGAAACTATTTTCAGAATTGAAAAACTACAAAAAAAAATTGAAAAAGTGAAGAAAAAAAATCAGTGTCGATTTAAATTGACAAAATCTAAGCCAAATTTGTTTGTGACTTTCTATAACATTGAATAAAAAATCATAACAACGCGCGTTCAACCAAAACTTCAGTACTTTAAAAGAATATATAGCCTGTTATAAATTTACTTTAAGATTCAAAAATATGTTTTTTTCCTTTTGGTGAAAAAAAAATTGTGGAAAAATTGGCAATGTTTGTGGAATGATCACTTCGCGGAATTGCTCTCAGCACAATTTTCCACAGTTTCAAACTAGGAATATTTTAGCATTTGCTATAGTTTTTCAGAATTAACACCAGAATTATCTTCACTAAAAATTTAAAAAATCACATGATTGAATGTTTAATTTTTCTCTCGTCAAAATTGATTCCGAGTAGTTGTTCTCAATATATGTTGGAAGCTGCACACTATTTTACCATTTTGAAAGGCTGAAAACTGGAAAAAAAGGACAAATGCTTACAGAAAGGAACGGTTATTTAGAAAATGTTATTGAAGATTGGTGTTTCGATAAGAATAGTACAAAATACATCACAGTCCTTTTCAGCTTCTAGATAAATTTGCCATATTTTTTGAGCCTCGTAGTTTTTTAAAGACTTGTGTGAGCTGTATTTGAGTGACCGCGAACGGCTTGTCGAAATAATTGTATAAAGTTTTTATCAATTATTTGGCTTCCACTTTATTTCCTCTATTCCCACTGGGTACTAGTTTAGCGGGGAGATGAACTCGTTTACCAACCCCAAAGCATAGGATCGAATCCCGCGCTTGTTTTGTCTTTAGGAAATAGGTGAGATTAATCGTGGTTTCCCACGGGATCAAAGAAAAAACATAGTAATGCCCACTACCCTTGATGCAGTCATTTTGCATCAAAATTTCGTCACTGCATTTTTTCAGACAAATGGACTCGATGCCCTTTCTAGGGACTTAATTGTAAAAAACCACTGTGGTGCCTGCAATGGGTGTTCTCCAGAAAAAAATCAACACTCAAAAAACAGTTGGCATCGTTTTCGTATGCCACTTCGATTATATCGATAAACCAGTTCAACTTTCGAAACCTATGGCAATCTTGTGATCATTTTGAAAATTTATTCAGCATCCAGAACTTTTTCATACCACTTGCACAAATGGCCAGTTTCCACTGAATCTAACCGTAAATACATAAATCCAACCTAAATCCAACCTAAATCCGTAGAGTTTTTGTAAGACTTTTGCTATTCGTTTGTTTTATAAAGGCAAGCCAAGAAGGTACACTAAATAGAAGTTTGGCAATGATATAACTAAAATACAAACAAGTGTAATCGCTTGGTAATCTGAATCTTTCAGGATCGTTTCCCAAGCTTTCAGGTTTATGAATAAATTGGTCTGAAAAAAAACCAAAACTAACGTATACACTCTTGAATTTCTTCGAAATTCGGAACAACAACGCGCTAGTAGACGCAAAAGTTAACCAACTGATTCTTGAAAAGGGGGCCTATGTCAAAGATTTCAGAAACCAAACCGACTTGGTTGACACTGTCGGTAACGAAACATTCATCATGATACATGCAGTCGAGCTCACAATTTGATAATAAACAAACTATTTGATTTTTTGTTATTAAAACACAATTCAATAAAAACGAGAAACAATTTACTGCCCTGAGTGACTCGAAAAAGACAGATAACGATATCAACTGATGAGAACGGTGATACTTGATAAAGTTGAAAAACGCGAAGCTTTGGTAAAAAAGCAATAAAAAAAGAATTAGTGAGAGCCCATAGACTCTAAAATGCAAAAAAGTAGGAAAATTAATTTGAAAATTGTTGTTCAAAAAGTGAAAGTCCAAATAAACTCTAATTATTTTTTAAACAATTAAAATTTTCCTGTTCTCCTTTGCACTTTTTCCTCTTTTGTCTTAGCTCACCTGTTTTTGGTTATACCCGGTTTCAGTTACCAAATAAGGTAGTAATTAGGCAATATTTTAAATTTGTATAACGGGTTTTAATATTAAAGAAGATAAACTTTTATCAATGAAACTAGGACAGAAAATTTAAGACAAGTTGGGAAAAAATAAGCTAATCATTGTTGACATCAATGACTACTACAATAAATAAATATTGCAAAAATTGTATGTCTAATACTTTGAAAACCTATTTGAAATCAAAACTGAAGATACTAGTTTTTCCAAATTAGGGTAGTAAAACAAGTAATTATTTTTCTTAAAAGTTTTTTTCTAATTCATATCAAAGACTGCTTGTTGAGTGTTTCAAAAACAAGACGACACAAATTTAGAAAACTCTTTACCTTTGGCGTCAAATTTGTTTCCGACTCAGAAAGAATGGAACCATTTAAATTAAAAATAAAGAGAGCCGTCTAATTCGGGCGAAATCAGGAAATACATTAAAATTTAAGTTTTTAACGGCCATTTATCGAAATTTTTTTATAGCCTCATAATATGAACTTTTTTATTTGAGAAAAGAAATCATTTCTCCCCTACCGTCCATTAGAGAAATGAATACGTTTAAATAATGAGATATTTAATTGCTTTCTGGGTTTCTTAGCTCCCATCACAAGCTCTTAACAAAACCTTTAAAGATACTTTTTTGGAAGAATCTTGGGAAAATATATAAATAAAAACGTTTTAATTGCCCTCGAATTGGCTTCAAAGACAACGCAACATAAAGTTCAATGTCCTAAATAAGGATAATACCCAATATTCTGGGTTTATTCCCATAGAAGAAAAACTAGTTTTTCAACTATTTTTTGTGATATGAACGGTTTATGTTTATTTTCCTGGAGCAATAACTTAAACGAGGCAAATTGTGTATATTTAGAAAATAATTGCAAAGTGAATTGCTTAGGGAGTGTTTTTTCAGAATGGTCAGCTCGATCGAAAAACGTTCAGCTTATAATTGGAAGTGCTTTTTCTCTAAGTGCTGACAGAAAAATTAGAATTTCGTGTCACATATTTTTGCAAAAGACAATTCGATTTTTGCAGACTCGATTCTTTTTGTCCTTTTATTTCCATCTGTATTCAACTACTTCGAAAAAATGACCAAGGAGGCAAAGCGGATAATTGCATCGTTTTCTAAGAAATTGCAACCAAGACCACCATTTCACAGAGGCTAAAAATCTCTTTCTCAGGAGCAAAAAACTATATTTTTAAGACACTATAACCCAAGATGGCTCTAAGTAAATTTAACCGCTAGGGTTATAAAAATCAACAAAAGTGAAAAAAAAGCAAATATTCAAATATATTATAAGCTTTAACAAATGGTGAAATTGATCAAAATATCGCATATAAGTTCTCGAAATATAATGAAAGTTTTCCTTTAAAACTTAGAAGTTTTGAAAATGTTCTGTATGTTTTTGAAAACAAACAATTTTTTTTGAAAAAATTCATTGAAAAAAAATTCAGAAACAAACAGCACTCGAAAAAAAACATAGGGAATGCAGTTTTCTCCGACATCAATTATTTTGAAAAAAAAAAAAGAATTTTGAAAAACTTTTATTTTTGATATAATTTTTGATTGTTGAGTGGTTTTTTGTTTTGCGCTTGTACCTGGAAACGTGGAAGCTAGCTAAGAAACAAACTTTGATACGCAAATAATCAAAACTTTATCAAGAAGTTTTGTGCGTAGGAGGATGCAATAAACAAAGTCGAAAACATCATACCGGTATTTCATGACACTGGCTCAAATTTTAGAACCGTTTTTTAAAATCGTTTGAGCCACGACTGAATGGACATTTTAGGTTTTGTTAAAATTCCTGATTTTGCAAAGAAAGATAAAAATTGAAACACATTTCCGTGATCGGAGGAACAACTTATATTTAAATTGATATATCTAAATTGATTTTTTCATTTCATTACACGTTTTTAATCTCCTTGCTAAAATGTTCGTTATTTTCATTTTTTAAAATAGATTTTACGTGGTTTCAAAAAAGCATATAGCTAAGTGAGTTAGTTATCTTTTTGACATAAACTAGTTTCAAAATGCTATACAACTCAACACTGCTCAAATTCACAGTAGGCAATTTTCAAAAAAATATGATAAACTGTTTGAAATGCTTATTTTATACCAAAGGGGGAGCGGTGGTGAAGTGGTTACGTCTCCGCCTCTCAATCGAAAGGTCGGATGTTCCAGGCCCACCATGATCCGTGCTCATTGCTTGAGGGTGAAGCAACCTTACCTAGCCCAGAAAAATAACCAAAAAGATTGCATGTAGTTCTTAAGCAGGGGCACAACACCGGTTCGCCGTGATGAGCTGTACAGCTCTTGTGTTCGTCCTTTCCCCCGTGGATAAATGGTCTTAATCTTAAATTTAATTGTCACACAATTATGCAGAGGAAGAGCTCTCAACTCAGCTTATTTTGTCATTTAGAGCAGTCTAATTGACTGTCCAGTTGTTTTTTATGTAAATAAACTAGTAATATCTTTAACGAAGAAATTTTAAGCTCCTTTTTAAAGCAAACAGATAGGTGTCCAAAAATAACATGGGTATTAGCCGAGTAAATTAAATTGAATGATTCAAGGTTTTCTTGACGGAGTCTCCAGTGAGCAAACGGTTTTAAAACATCAGTCAGGCAAAAGACTTGTAAAATAAACGGACTATGCTTAGACAAGCTGGATAGCTTTTTATAGATGTTTTGCAAATCGCAGAAACCCCAGTTAAAGTAGTAAGCCAAGAGCTATTTAAGATATTTTAACTAAAAAATATTTTTAAGTTCTTTTTTTCAGAATGATACACCCAAACTTTTAAGGTAATAATAGGTTAAGTTCTATGGTATTTAAAGATAAGTTAAGCTAGCCTGCAACGCACGTTCATGCATGTCTCAGGTTTTTCCCTTCCACATTTTGAAAAAAAAACTTAAAGTAGTGCAAATTTACCCTAATTGTTAAAGTATTCTAAGGTATTTTTAAAGTAACTTTACCTAAACTTTTTTGCGTGTGTACCATCAATCGCAGACATAGTAGATCGATGCGGGCTAAGGGGTAAGGAATAGGTCAAATGGTCAAGCCGGAAAGTTCAAACTCTTGATGCCCACTGATATATCACAAAGCCCTTTGTGTCTCGTTGTTTTGCTGCGAGGCATCATTAACCGACCCAGAAAAAATCTTGCTTGGAATTCTTAACGAGAGATGCAGCCTAGTGCTTCTATATTAAGAGCTGAAAAGCTAGTAGGTTGGCGCTTTCAAACGTGGATAGTATATCTTATATCGAATTGTTGAGTAGCGGCTGAGTAGCGGCCAATCTCAAATTAGTTCAACTTGAAGCGTCTCATCCCTGGTAGTATTCCAAAATAAGAAAAGGTGATCAAACATAAAGTCAACTGTAAACCGAACGAAACTAGCTTCATTGCAACAGATCTGATGATACAAATATCAGCCAGAGCAAAAAAAATATTAGAATACATTTCAAGTTGACTTCAAGAGAATTTATTTAAGCTCCTGTTTTTGATAATTTTGATGACAAAACTTTTCAATGTTATAAGTAACTTTTTTGAATAAAACCAAAATTTTAAACTGTCTTATTGCAGCAATCAAAATCGCGAAGAATATGATAGTTTCAAAAAATTTGTGCTCGTAAAAAATGGTCGTAGAAAATGACTGTTTCGCGGAGAATACGATCGTAGAATATGATTGGAATCGCGTAGAATGAATGTGATTGAATATAATTGTTTACAATATGAAAAATTTGTGCTCGGGTTGATTTTTATCTCTGAACAAAATTTTTTTTTGAATTAATATTTTGAGAGTTTGATTTGAAAAATTTTGATGCCCTCAGCTCAAAACCAAAACAAAGGACACTTATGATTAATTTTCGCAAAGCTACGAAGAATTTCTGAATCCATTTTCAAAAGTTAATCGATTATATTATGATTCTAGTAAAGTCTCGCCAAATTGCGAAAAAAAATCAATTCTGATCGATTATTAGATATTTTAATCCATATTATTCCATCTATATTGAAATTGATTTTTTAATCCCAATTTCTAACTAATACATTTTGCACATAAAACCTATTATAATCGATAATAATCGAATATATTCCATTTGTTTGTCCATTTTGTCATCGACCTTGCATCTGAGTTGCTTTTATTTTATGCTTTTTGTAGACTTTGATTTGAGTGAAAAACGAGAAACTAGCTTTGAAAACTCACAAATCAATTCAAAGTTATAATATTTTCTTTTTTTTATTTCCTCCTCGTTAAAATTGTTTCTTGATGCACATAATAAAATTTTTAACGAATAAATTATCACTAAAATGTTTTAGTTTCTTGATTTTATATGACCGCAAAAACTTAACTGAAACTTAAATGAAAGCGTATGCTTGTGAAAGCGTATGCTAAGCAGCTATTACAAACACGGAAATTAATTCACATTTAAATTAGTCAAAATAAGTGTTCCGAAAAGCGCAATACTGCTCAGTTATTCTACTTCCGATAACCTAATGAGCAAATGAAAACTTCAGGGCTTGGCCCATATACGGTTAGTCTCATTTAAAATTTGAGCTCACAAGCAAAATAAGGGCAAGTGAAACTCAACTTTGTCCCCAAAATAATCCGCTGAAATATCATAATATGTTCAAATCAATGCCACAAGTTTTAGAAGCTTATTTTGTTAGTTTTGAACATCTTGAAACAACAAGAAAAGGTATCTGGGAGAATGATAAAGTACAGTAGCACAAAAATTGACATAAGAATCACCAAAAATTTTCATAAAATTTTTTTTTTGGTGATATTAGATCATAGTATTTGACAATCAGCTTATAGAATTTTCAAATGACCTTAAAGATAGATTTTATGAGACTGGTTCATTCTGGTTCCGGTCTAGGAATGAAAAAATATATATCTTGCCAAAATTTTACACACAATTGGCACCCATAAACTTTTTTATGACATAGATTAGGTCAATGCTCCTCGACGCATATTATGATATTTTTTTTAAAATCGATTGTTATACATTTCATAATCGACATAAACAAATATCTTATTACTCTGACATTCGAAAAAAAACGGAATATTTATGCGTGGGGTGGTTTTTTGTTCAGTTAGTTCTCTACAATCAAAACAATAGTTATAACAAAACTTTTTATACACCATTGAAGATATTGACTCCCTGAGTTCAAATGTAAAAAGATATTTTACCTCGCATTTTTTTTGTAAAACTCTGAGGGTTTGAATTTTGCCAAATTGGCTATGTTCTGGACTAAATTATGCGCGCGTAGTAGAATTTATTCTTAATTCTGAGAGCTTAACGTGAATTATGGATGCAAAACGAATTTTCCCGCATAACAAAATGGTTCCAAATTGAATTGAGACTAGCTATTTTGGTCGTATTGTTTTTGTACGACTTAAATGTTCACAATTGATCTTTGATATTATCAAAAATTATATTTCTTCAATGCTTTAGTTTCTCAAAAAGAGCAGTCTTGTTTAATTTCAACCGTCTTTGATCGTTTTTGGCAGTTGAGTTTAATTATTATTTTCCACGACAACTCAGATGCCTTAAAAACTATCAAAACCATTTAAAGTCTTGTAAT